CCCCAAAACCCCAAAACCCCAAAACCCCGGAGTTTAGCAAAAGAGTTGAATTAATGTATGGGATTGGAGCTGAGATGAGAGATTTGTGAGATGGGGGAGTCAAGATGTGCTGTAGGTGCAAAGGAGGTAGTTTGGATCAATTTTTAGATGAATGAAGTGATTGTTTTAAGTGGGTGAAAAAGTGTCAATTTTGGCTTAACTTTGAGAAATGGAGACTTTTTCAGAAACAGAACGTTTGCAGGCTTTCTTTCCTAGAAAGGAATTGTTAAAATAACTTCATCTTTTGAGCATTTTACTTACCTTATTGATTGGGGATAGGCTCATTTTCTCCATTTTAGTTCTTCTATCACTCATTTCAGATCTATTTATTAGGGACTATCAGTCTTACGCTGAACGGCTAAATTCAGGTATACTAGGAGGGGAATAAGCCTTAATAGTATCACGAAGGTACTCTACTTTTCTATTCTTGTAAATATCCCTTTGCTTAATTGTTCTTCTTAATCTCTTTTCTAAAATTCGTGAGAATACCAATGTCGACAACAAAAGGATGATAAATAGAATTATTTTTGAAATAAAACCTCAAGAATTAATTTTCTTTGGCTTGGTCATTTATCCATTGTAACAAAATATAGTGTTTACAAAGAGAAGCTACATAGCACTGTGATGGCAATGTTCACTACTTCAGAAACCCAAAGTTCCAGTATCACATACCTTGTCTATCTTCTGTCCATTTTACGATGGAAATACTGGTGATAGGGATTGGAGATATAGGAGATATTTTGTGGTTTGAGCTATTTTAAAGTGATTGTGACCTCTTTCTCGCTGTTTAGTGAGCAAGGGGAAGTTACTTTGTGGTATTTTTGAAGAAAGGAGTTTGTCGCGATCTTAGTTTATTTGGAATAATTTGTCTGTTGAGTGGAGGTTGCTACGAGAGAAGTGTTGTTACAGGTCTAGAGGAGATCAGAGATGGAAGACAAATCTTGAGGCTCACCCCTAATTCTTTGGGATATCTAAAGGTTATATTAGCTATGCTTACCTAATAAATGGGCGATCCTGATCTTTCATACGAGATTTGATCCACTTTCTAATTTTGGAACGGTTTCTATAAAATTTCAGAAACCGATAATACTTTTGACTGAATTTTTTATCTTGTTTAATCACTTGGCCCTAGACTCGGAGTTATATTCTTTAATGCAGAAATTAATCCTCGCTCTTTCGAATTGCAATTAAGTTTCACTTCATTGAAAAACTTAGTGAAGTTTTGTGAGATTCTTCCATCAAGGAATCCACCCATTGAATAATTTTGAAAATGTAGCAACCGAGGTTTACTTCGAGAGCCAAGTGGTTTACCTTTGTAGGAAGATTCCAATACACAGTTGATAGTTTAGGGCACCCCAAACTATCAGGAGTCACGGACAGCTTGATTGAATTATTATGAGAAGTAGGCTTAGATGCTCGACTGTAACTACTGTTTATAGCATGGCTCAATCTCTTCTATAAAAAGTTAGACAGAAAAATTGTATTCAAACATTTTTAAAGCATGAGAGTCGCTCCATCACCGGCCTTTCTGGCAACTTTATCTTGGAATCCATTCTTGGTATTTCTAATTTTCAATTGAAATTATAATTTTAGGGGTTTTGGGGTTTTGGGGTTTTGGGGTTTTGGGGTTTTGGGG